ATTGCTGCCAGGGGAGCTGGGTGAAAATGGTGAAGAGAGTAAGACGCACAAATTGGCAGTTACAAAATAGTGACAGGGTTAAAGTAGGAACTAGAGTCAATAATATTGTAATAACTATGTATGGTGTCAGGTGGGTACTAACTCAGGGAGATCACTTTGTAAATTATATAAATGTCTAACTGCTATGCTGTACACCTGAAACTAATATAAAATAATATTGAATGTCAACCGTAACTGAAAAGAAAGACACTATGTTCTCTATTATGTTAAAAAGTATGTAATTTCATTTAGGTCTCTGCTCAAATATCAGCCCCTCGGAAAAGCCGCCCCTGACCACTAATTAAAATAGCATTCTACTGCGACTTGCTTTCCTTCTATTCATTCTCATCTTATGTTTTGTAGCATGTCCCACCTCCTGAAAATTATGTTTGTTTCTTCACTTATTGTCTTTCTCAACCTAGTAGAATGTGAGCTGCATGTAGCTGTATCCTGCCTGTTCATATCCCCCAATGTCTAGAACCATGATTAGTGCAGAGTATGTGTTCAAAATGTATTAATTGAATAAATGAGTGTGAGGTTTAGAAAAAAGGCTGAGAAGAAATACATTGAAATGTTAACATGGTTCAATTTGAGTGGTGGGATTATAGGCTATTTTTTTTAATGTTTCTGTGTTTTCCAGATTTTCTTTAATAGGCATTATGACGATTATACTGGGGGAAAAAACAGGCAAGTAGCATAAACATAGAAATGTAACATTGAAATTACCTGGAGAGAGGATAACGATTGCTGTAAGCAGAGCATACTCCTCTTGTGTCATTTTCAATTCTGCCACACTTTTGTAAAAACTAAACATCGGAGTTATATATTCATCAGAGATACCTAGGGGGAATGTTGAAAAATTGCAGAGGCATAGTAAAATTTTTGAATGACTGAAAAGTGTAAAATTACAAACACATTATATATAAACACAGATTAATATTTGTACCCACATGCACGCATTCAAATAATGACTATAAATTATATGTCTTGGCCCAAGGCAGGGAATTGCAAAGAAGGTCAGCTAACAAAATCCTCAAAATATAACTTAATCAACAACTTGTATGTCTTCGATTTTGGCAGTGCCTTTGTTTTGATCACTACTGACAATGAATGATAATGTTCTTGAATTGCCAAAAGAATCTTCCAACTTCACCATTTTCTGGGTGGGATTTGTTAATCTTTTTAATGTTAATAACTATAATCCGGACATAGATAGCATCTTAAACAACCGAAAAAATTGTAGTTCTGCAGCCCAGAAGTATAAACAGGTCCACTTAATAATGGTTAAGGTTCTTATCAGGGTTCTGACCTCGCTCTGAAGTACCAAGCCGGTTTTTCCATTGCCTGCTAGGCATTGGTGTTTGGCTGTTCTCTCCAAACTCAACATGTCCAAAGCTAAAGACACCAGGTCTGGAACTAAACTCTTCACCTTTCTCCACCCCTTCATCTTCCTTCAATCCACCCCTTTCCTAGTGTTCTCATTCTCAGTGATTGGTATCCCCACCCACACAAGTGCCCCACCTGACACCTGAAACTCAGCTTCTCTGTAATTCCATCAGGTGCTGACTCCTGGGATTAGACCCACTAACTCTCACCTGGGGCTCGCTCTCCCCTCCACTGCACCTGGAGTTGACTACTTTACGTCTTTACTTCTTTTCATCTGGAATACTGCAATTGCCTCCT